TTTATTGATATTTTGTAGTCTCCCCCTTTTTTAGTGACACACACTACGTAATTCTATGTTATGTAATCGAAGTATGTTATTATTATAATATCAAGTATGAATAGATGGGATTATTTTAAAATGGTTATTTTATTATGTATAACATTTTTTCTTTCCTCGTAGAAAACAACTACGACTACTCTTCGATGTTCTCTATATCCATTATTATTGATTATTAATTATTCCTACGTTCTACGAGCAGAAAAACCCACGTAACGGGAAGAAAAAGAAAATGTGACAAATGAAATTTTTATAATATCCATCAGTCATTCTTTTTCAAAGGTACTTATTTGTGACAAATTACACATTTCAGCAATGAAAATGTCTATTTATTTTCTATTATCTCTCTTCGATAATACTTAATTTTATTTAAATTACTAATTTCCAAGTTTACAGTCAGTAAAAGTAAATTGTCTCGCAATTCCCAAGACGATTGAATTTTATTCCAATTCTCGTTCATGTGCATTACGAAAAAAAACCTTTTCAGCGTTTCGATTAAAATTATCTTGCAGATAAATTATTTTATTCCAGTGTCTGCCTTGTTTTTTAAATCTTTCTTGTTATAATTTTAAAATATTTTTATTATACGTGTCTTTCTAACTATAATAATACTAATTACCATCATATTTTATTTCCTTGTTTTCATTTATTCTTATTCTTCTTGCGTTTGTGTCAAAAAATTGTACGCCGTGTATGCAGTCTTAAGTATCTAAGAAACAAAATTATATGATCACAATAAGCCTTTCGAATTATTCTAACATTTTGTAATTATTCATATGATAATACTGACGTTTACGAACGAATCAAGATTCAAGGGAAAAAGATTCATAACAATAAAAACAATTGGCCTCGTAGTACGATTCATCATAATCAAAAGACTTTTCTTCATGTCGTTGTTTAGCCCAACCAAATTTGTATCGAAAATTTGATATACAATTTCTTGGCTCTGCAAAGACACATAAAATTATTTTATGTTTTAAACACGAACATTATTTCAATAAATGTTAACAATTATGATTATTTTTCTATTCATTTTTAAAGTTATTTATTATACTGCATAATGATATTAATGTGTTCATTACGATTAAAATGATTGATAATGATTTAAATGATTATTTATTTTTTAATCAGCAGACCTTAAGAGTGACTAAATGTCCGTAGGAACAGTAGAGATAAACTTGTATTAACATTCCGGATATAAAAACAGTTATTTTGACAAATTCCAATGAAAATGTTGACACTTTGGTCAATTGGAACAATGTAAAACAGACTGTCAATGTACTTGCCAAAAATTGCATGAAAATCGCAAATTTAAATGTTTTATTTACTGATGCAGCATACCTTTGAAAATAAAAGAATTCACAAAT